TTTTGTTGTGGGGGAAAGGGAGCCCCATCCCCCCCCCCCCCCCCCCCCCCCCGGCTGATGAACGCCTTCGGTAGATTCACAGGGTTGTAGCTGTAGAATAATCGCGGAATTGCTCCCCGGCTCCGCCAGGGAAATTTTGTAGTCTTTTCCGTGCATTTTTCGGTCGATAACGGTAGTCTTGGTCATGAAGAAGGAAATCAAATACGGTGCGTGTAGGTACTCTGTACAGAAGAAGCTGCAGTTTGTTGTTTTGTGAGAGGGAGCGTGCGTGCGGAGGGGTAGCCGCTCCTTGCACTGGTCAGGCAGACGTAAGCGGTGGTGGCAGAGAGTGGTAGGGGCTAGGCCCTTGGGGCGGGGTAAGTTTGTGTATGCTCTTCTTGCTTACACCCGCAATTGCTGGTTCGAGCACGAGCAACAACAAGGGTATTGGCCGGTTACGTTCTTGCGTCGATGATAGGTTTGGTTTGTTGACGCGCACAACTGCTGTGTTGTACGATGCCTGTGAAGCAGAGAGAGGGAGAGGTGCTCTGCCTCTTGCCTGTATTCTATCCCAGGTCCTATCTATCTAGTTGAGAGTTTTTTCAACCAATTTTGTAGGTTTGAGTACGTCTGCAACGTTGGCGGTGGTGTAGTTTTGTCCGCTAATTTGTTGGCGTATGATGAGTGTTTACGTGTTTACGTGTTTAGTTTTAGTTTTTTACCGTGTCTCCTTCTCGGTATCCCTTAAATCGAGCGAGTCGGGTTACACTACACAACAAGAGAAAGGAGACTCGGCTTGATCAGAAAGCGTGGAGAGGAGTTTTGTGACGAAAAAGTTGCTGATCCATTTCATTTTGGTGTGGCATAATGACCGTTGATGGGCGAAGGCAATCCATAAAAGAACCCGCCCTCGGGTTAAGGAATAATAAAAACACACACAGAAAGACTACCCATTCGAGATATATATACCCACAGAGGGTTGATATTGTTGTCCACACCCGGTTGTCGGGAATCAAGAGCCGGAAGAGGGAACACTTGTTTTCGAACTTTGCATTGAATACGTTTGTTTGCTGGATGCATTCTAGACTGGTGTGGCTTAACGAACAAGCCTGGAGTTCACCTACGGGGGTAGGTACCTCTGTTGTTTTTTGCTTTTTGTGGCACGCAATTCGCTGATTGGTCAACGTACCTGCGGCGGAATTTGCAAAATTGGAAAAAAAAAATGGAAATCGTAGACATACAGGTACTTTTCTGACGCTATGAATCCATTGCTAATCTGTCTCAGACTCTTTTCTATGATGGAGATGGCTTCGTGGTGTCATACTAAGAAAAAAAAAAAAAAAAAAAACAGGGCACGACCCAAGATCCTTGGTCGAAGGGCACAGCGTCATCGAATTGCGTGCCACAAAAACCACACAACCTTTTCTCTCTCTCCCAACACTCTCCTGTTGTTTGGTATTTGCGACAACGACAATGACATCTCGACGGGCGGATCTCGTTGCCAATCGGATTGAAAAATAGGCGAACGCCGAGACCGGTAGTAGTACGCTAACGCACACAAAACAACAGTGGACAACAACTGATTCGCCGCCAGGATCCAGGTACACAGGTACAGGAACGCGGGACCCGGAGCGGCGAAATTGCAACATGGAACATGCGATTTAATTGGTTGGTACGAAGAAAAAAGCCTCCATCACAACAGCAAAGCTTTTAAATGAGCGAAGAACCAGCAGAGGGGAACCCACAATCTACTACAGCAGTTATCCTGTATCGCACTTCACGAGCGTCAAAGCCAAAGCCGTGAGTCACTGGTCTCTTTTCCTAGCGGGAAAGATAGCGCGTGGAAGACGATAGTTGTGTCGGGGGGTAAGGTTCAACACGCAGCTGAGCTACGGCTGTTGTTGTACACACCCACAACTAAATGCGTAAACCCTCCCCCAAAACAACATGCAACTTCAATCAACAGGCGCAACATGTTCGGAACCAAGGCAGCAGTTCTGCGTGGAGCGAGACTTATCGGCCGCCGCTCGCTGCACAGGCGTCAGCCGCCCGACGCTCCTGCGGCAGCAGCAGCTGTCTGCGCTGGGCCTGGCGTCTCGCAACGGGAGCGTGGTGCTGCTCACTACAGCAGGAGGGTCGCTGGATTGTCAACTGCGGCGGGATTGAAGGTTGCTACGGCGGCACGTCAGGTGCAACACGGGGGGGAGCGGTTCCCGTCGCTGCTTATCACTGCCGACGACATCACTGCGGAGTAAGTGTGTCGTGCTGTGCTGTGCTGTTGCTTGTGGTGTTAGTGCTGGTGGTGCGTGTTTGTGGCGTTGCGACGTCACACGTGGTTGTTGTTGTCAGCTGTGACTCTGCTGCGGGAAATGTGCGGTCGCCACCACGCACAATCGATCGGCACCTCGCGCGCTGTAGTTGTGTTCCGTGTTCCTGCTCCAGTGCATTCACATCTGCTGTCGTCGTTGTTGCGTCATGCTAAAAATTACAACTTCTACCTAGACGTGTGTGAAGGCGTGCCACCCCTGCTGTAGCTGTACCCAATCAAGCCCCCCGCTCATCCTCCGGGCAGTCTCCGGCGTTTAGTTGAACCGACCGGGATATGGCCGTTATTATGGCAGCACCTTTGAACACGGGGAAGGGGTGGGACGGGCGTTTGCGTTTTGCTCTCTCTCTCTCTCCCTCCTCTCGACTGATGCCGAAGGCGCCAAAGATAAGATATTGTGGGTGATTGTGTGATTGTGTGACTGCTGTGAACACGCGAACATTGACATTTACACCGCATATGTAGCATGCAAAAACTCACATGTTGGATATCTTCGATGCTTCTCAACTGCTACCGCTTTGTTGCTGTTGGCATGGTGGTCGTTGTGGTGGTTTCGTTTACACGGAAAAAAACAACCAACAGGGGTTCGTTCGCGGAGACTCAGGCGACGTTCATGACTCCGGACCCGTCCTTGGTGTCTGAGCTGGACCACTTGCTGCCCACCAAGAACATGGGGGTGGTGGCTCACTATTACATGGATGCCGAGCTGCAGGTGTCGTTGGGTGTGTTTTTTCGTGTCACTTTTTTTTTATTGTCTTGGGTCTGTAGAACCCGTTCTGCCGTCTTTCCCGAAGTTCGCTCTCCTGGGATGCAAACTTCTACTATTCACTGCTGTACTCATAGCAAAACACTTTGGGATCACTCTTATTTTTTTTTAATACGATGTAGAATGTATAGTCAATGGATGTACATGTAACTTTCGGAGGCGCACGGTAGAGAAGTAGACTACTTCCGACGTGTTCTCTTTTATCCCCTGTTACCGAAAAATTCAAAACGCCTTCACAGACTACTGTACGGTTCAAAACTATTAATACATGTACTCCGAACCCTATCCAGTGTGTGTTTACGTAACTTTCGGACTCTCGCGGTACTTCATACTGGTACAATCGCCTCGCGGCACCTTATTGTGGATATGGCTCAACCGCGCTCACCGGAGGAAGACAACCAACCTTCACGGGGACCCCACAACGGCGAGCATGCTGCCGTGTGTTCAACCTTTCCTTGTTACAGCATCGACCGCGCAAACGCGCGGACTGATGCTCAGGACGTGGGTCTTACAAGAGAGGCAAAGAACGCGAAACTGCTTGTTAATAAATGCCCACCTGTTCGAAAATGTCGGGGCCGTTCGGACAGAAGCACTAAGAAAGCCTCGGCCAAAACTGGTTCGTAAGTGCATGCGCTGTTATAATTTTACTTCACGCCCCCCCTGAACCCCCCCCCCCCCGCGCGCCTCAACACAACGGCAACAATCAAACCTAACTTTGCTGCCTGTTTGCCTGTGTCATCATGCGTCGCCCCCTACCCCACCTCGGGTACGGACCCCCTACCCCCCTACCTACCTACACGGGCCCACCTCCGGGCGTAACTGCCGGCCGGGCGCGCAGGGCGCGCTGGCGGCCCTGAAGTGGGAGCACGTGTCCGTGGCCGACTCGCTCGCGATGGGCGACGCGGCGGTGCGGATGGCCGAAGCGGGGGTCTCGAGCGTGGCGTGCCTGGGGGTCGACTTCATGGCGGAGAGCGTGCGGGCGACGCTGGACTCGAGGGGGTTTCAAGGGGTGCCGGTGAGCCAATCAGCACGCGGGGGCGAGGCAGGGGTGGTGTTTCGGTGCGCATGAATTGTTGCGGGTGTCGCCGCTTGCGGTGCTGTTGTTATTGTTGTTGTTGTTGTTGTTGTTGTTGTTGTCTTGCGTTGGCTGTCGGGCGGACAAGGGGGCGAGCGGAGTACAGCGTGGGATTTGTTTTTAGACCGGATAGCCGCACGTCGTTTCTGTTACTGTTGTCGTTGTCGTCGTCGCTGGCACTAAACCCTACCCCAGTAGTCGCTTGCGCTGCGGTTCCCTGCTGATTGTGCTTCGATGAATAGAACGTATCTCCTTGTCTGCCGAACGGTTGCCTGGTGCCAATGCCGGCGCTGGTGCTAGCACTGTGACTGGAGAACTTTGTTATCTCATCCCCCCTCGCTGCGTCGTCAAGCTTGCACCCGTTTGTGTATATATGACCAGGCCTCACCGGAAGGTTGGACCCGTTTGTTTCGCCTGTTGCCCTGGCCCTTGGGTCTGGCCACATGCCCGATGTTCGTGTGTGCCAACCGCCTGTGGCCGTGTCATCCGACACGTACCTTGTGTTGACTACCCCTTCCCTGCGCCACACCGTAGTTTTCTCCGACAGTTGTTCTTTGATTTCTAGAAGGGCGAACCCTTTTTTTGGGGGGGTAGTTGGCCTGTGACCACCGAAGGCGTCCGCGTTAGTTGGACCGGTACGGATATTAGAAAGTACTGAGAAGAGACCAGAAAGGTTTGTAAGGTGAAAAGAAGAAGATCAACAATTTCGGTTCCCCATTGCTGCACTTGCTCCACTTGCATTGCAACAACAAGAGCAACAACTTCGGCCCCCCCATTGCTGCACTTGCTCCACTCGCGTTGCAACAACAACAACAACAAGAACAACTCGTTTACTTGCTCCCTTCCCCCGTTTCGCGGCAGGTGTACCGCCTGTCGGAGTCCGAGATTGGCTGCAGCCTTGCGGAAGCGGCGGAGCGCAAGGCCTACGAGGCTTGGCTCAGGAAGGCCTCGGCCACCGCGAACTCCATGCACGTTGTCTACATCAACACCTCCCTCGTCACCAAGGCCCTGTCGCACGTGAGCAGCATCGAGTTTGTTAAGACGTTATTGCTGCGGCCTGTGCTGATATGTAGGGCGCGAGTTTGGGTGCTCCGGGGGAAGTTTGCTGTCGTGGGTAGGTGTACTGCCGAGTGTAGCGCCTATTTAGCTTGATCGATAGCGTTGCGTACTGTAGGGTAGACGTTTGGTGTCACCTGTGTTAGGTGAAGCCGTGCTCGTGCTACTAGTAAGTTGTTTTTTTTCCTTCAGGGGGAGAGGGATTGAGAGTATATTTATGGCTTGCTTGCCACACTTGCCCCTGCTGTACCGAGTATCGATTTTGATGTTGGCAAGTGTCTCGCGTTCTAGTCTATCGTAGAGCACGATCTTGCCCCAGCTTTGACATACGATAGCGTTTTGCATGCGGGCGGGGCGGGGGTTGCGTGCGCGCGCTTGTACTTCTTTCCTTGGCGTATCGGCTGCTCTACACGGTTGGCCAATGGCTGTTCGCCCCGCCGTCATAGCCTCAATCAAGATCGACATTGATTGTGTATGTGTTTGCCTATTAGTTGCAACGCCAACCCATCTTGACTAGTAGTGAAATTGCGTCATCATTTTTTGGCCTGAAACGAATCAGAACTGAGCAACGCGTGTCTGCATGTGTTTTGTACCCTGGCTCCTTCGCGGCATAGTTCCCGAAGCGTAGACATAGTCTTCGCGCATCATGCTGCCGCCTATTCCTAACCCTCGTTTATTCTCTTCTCCATTTACCCTGTCGTGTCCGCATGTATGTGTGTCTCGACAGTCTCTGGTGCCCACGATAACGTGCACCTCCTCCAACGTGCTCCACACGGTGCTGCAGGCGTTCGCCCAGGCGAGTTCGTCAATACACTAATCCCCCCCCCCCCCCCCCCCCCCCCGGTGTTTGCCATCGGGGTTTGGGTTTTCGTCGCTTGGCAACGACGTTGTAAAACAAGCCCCCCACTCGGTGTTTGCCATCGGGATTGGGTTTTCGTCGATTGGCAACGACGTTGTAAAACAAGCCAATTCACTTCGTGAACTCGGCAACCAGGTTACCGTCTTTTTTTTTTACCTCTGGTTTTTTTTTTGGCGGTAACCATAATGGTGGTCGAGTAGATCATGTTGTGCGGGGTCGAGAAACCTCACTCCGCGCAACGGGGGATGATCGCACCACGTTGTGCTAAAATGGTCAAGCTTCCTCGAGGCAGTTACACAGTGCTTACAACTGTCTCTGGAAGTGAAAGCACCAGAAAATAAATTAAGTCATACGCAGCCGTCATCCGTACGCAAGGAAGTAAGCACAAGATGTCGAACACCCTTAGCAGGATGAAGCTCACCCTTCATGCGACTCGCCAAATACCTCACGGCGCTTCGCGCTTGGTGATGTGAGAGCCTGGTCCGGTGAGAACCCGGCGTGCTCCGTCCCGGCTTTGTAGGGATGCGAGGTCAATGGTCAAACGACTACGGCATGCA